AAAAAAAAAAACCATGCCTGGCGTGTGTGCATGCTTGCCAAAAACTCTGAGAGGTGAATGGAGAAGGAATTACAATATAGTTATCCCCCCAAAAAGTTTTCTCACTTTCCCTCTCCATCTCTCTCTTTGTCTCTATGTTGAGTGCACATGCCCTGTAGCAAATTAAAAATAAAAAAATTACATAGAGCCAGACAAGTGGTGTGGTAGCAGATGGATCCCACTTAGCCAACTGCATGATCCAAGTCTTGGACCTGGTAGCTTGAAAAACACACTGGATACATGTGTACATGCTAAAAAATCTCCAGAGAAGACTAAAGGAGATGACTACGGGCTTGGTCATCTGCCCTCAGGGGGTCGTCTTACTTTCTTCCTTCACTGCCCTTTGTATCTCCTCTGGTGGGTGCACCTGCCCTATAGCAGATTTTAAAAATATTAAAACTAAAGGGAAAATGCTGATAAAACAACTTTAAATAGTAAAAATTGTGGCTACACTGCAATCCCTTCTCTTCTATTCTCATACTTTGGGGCTGGCTCCATTACCTGGCCTGATGGTTAAGGAAGCCAGATCCCACATAGCCAACTGTGATTTGAATCCCAGCCCTGGTGGCTTGAAAAACACGCCAGGTGAGTGTTCATGCTACTGCAGATCCCAACAAAATGGAGAAATGGAGAAGGGATTATAATGCCTGGTCATACTTTCTTCTCTCTGTCTGTCTCTGTTTCTCTGATGTAGATACACATTCTCGGGTAGTTATAAATACATACTTTTTTTTTTTTTAGAGGTTTTTGCTGTAGGGCATGTGCGCACGCCAGAAAGACAGAGAGACAGAGAGAAAGTGAGAAATCACCCCCCCCCCGGGGGGGATGGCCACACCGCAGTCCTTTCTCTTCCATTCTAGTCTCGAGATCTTGGGCACGCATGCACACGCGTCTGGCGTGAGTTTAAGCCACCGGGTCTGGGACTCAAACCGCGATTGACTACATGGGAGTCCAGCAACATAGCCATTACACTAATTGATGGTCCCTTATTTTTTAAAAAATTTTTAGAGAGAGATTTTTGCCATTGGGCACTTGCACTTGCCAGAGAGATGGACAGTGAGACAGAAAACAAGAAATCACCCCCTAGAGAGGATGGCTACACCACAATCCCTTCTCTTCTATTCTTATCTTGGGACCCTGGCCATACATGCACACACACACACCCCACATGAGTTTTAAGTCACCAGGTCTGGGACTTGAACCACGGTTGTCTATGTGGGAGTCTCGCCACATAACTATTACGTCATCTGCTGGTCCCAATACATACATTAAGTATATATATTTATCAGAGGTCATGTGTACTTGCCAGGGCAAGATGGAGAAGGAGGAAAATGAGAAAGCACCTTCTATCAGGATGGTCACACCCAGTCCCTTCTCCATCTCACCTTCCTTTCTAGACTTTGGCACACAAGCACACACGTGCGCCAAGCCACCAGTCCAGGACTCAAACTGTGTACTTAGCCATGTGGGATTCAGCCACCTTAGTGACCATGCATGGGCAAGGCTAGAAATAAATACATTTTAAAAAATTACAAACTCCGAGCTGCAGTCTGGGCCCAGCAGCTTGAGAAGTATGCCAGGCGCATACACGTGGAGAAATGGAGGAGTTGTGGCGTGGCCAAGCCCCGCGTGGGAGCTTTGGCCCAGTCCCTTTCTCTCTGGTTCTCGCTGGTGAATGCTCTCACCTTCTGGCAAAAAAAAAAGATGGAGAAGGAGGAAAATGAGAAAGCACCTTCTATCAGGATGGTCACACCCAGTCCCTTCTCCATCTCACCTTCCTTTCTAGACTTTGGCACACAAGCACACACGTGCGCCAAGCCACCAGTCCAGGACTCAAACTGTGTACTTAGCCATGTGGGATTCAGCCACCTTAGTGACCATGCATGGGCAAGGCTAGAAATAAATACATTTTAAAAAATTACAAACTCCGAGCTGCAGTCTGGGCCCAGCAGCTTGAGAAGTATGCCAGGCGCATACACGTGGAGAAATGGAGGAGTTGTGGCGTGGCCAAGCCCCGCGTGGGAGCTTTGGCCCAGTCCCTTTCTCTCTGGTTCTCGCTGGTGAATGCTCTCACCTTCGGCAAAAAAAAAAAAAGAAAAACAAACAAACAAACAAAAACTCTGAACTTCAGGAAGGATAACAAAAGGCAGTATCATCTATGCTTTTGTTTGTACCCTTGGTAAGAATGTTTTAGAACATGAAATTCCTTTATTTTAAACCTTTGCATTTTTTTCCCTTTCAGGCTAATTTGTGTTTTGTGGATATTGACAACCATTTTATTGAGTTGCCTGAAGAATTTCCACAGTTCCCCAATAAAGTGGATTTTATCCAGGAACTCTCCGAAGTTCTTCTTCAGTTTGGTATCCCTCCTGAGGGGAGCCTGCACTGCAGTGAGAGTGCCACCAAGCTCAAGAATCTGGTTCTGAAAGACTTGGTCAACGACAAGAAGAACGGCAATGTCTCCACAAATAGCATCAGTATGTTCGAGTTGCTGGAGGGCAATGAAACCATAGCCCGCCTCCAGGCTCTGGCCAAGCGGACTGGTGTGACGGTGGAGAAAATGGACCTCTCTGCTTCTCTCGGTGAAAAAGAAAAGGATTTAAAACTGCAGTGCGAAGAGGCGGAATTAAGGGACTACCAGCTCAACGTACAGCTCCGTGAGGTCTTTGCTAACCGCTTTACCCAGATGTTTGCAGACTACGAAGCGTTTGTGATTCAAACTGCCCAGGACATGGAGTCTTGGCTGACCAACCGGGAACAGATGCAGAACTTTGACAAAGTAAAAAGAGCCATAGTTTCCCTACGTAATGGTTCTTAGTGGGCTACATTATTGATTTGGTTAACTTTTTTGCAAGTTCGTTTATTTTTCCATGAAAGCACATGTACAAGAGAGACACACACACTTACACACAGGCACACTCAGCAGGGTCTCAGCACGCCCTGACCCCATTCATCCCGCTCTCCAGCTCATGCATCCGGAGTATTCCAAGTTGGCCAAGGTTGTAAACTTCATGCAGTTGGCCGCGTGGCTTTCAGCTCTGCAGTGCGGACCACTGCCACCTATGCCACCAAGGCTGGGCCGGTTAACTTTTGTCAAACACTTTTCCTCTTCTGTTCCATTAAGTACTTTTTGGTTTTGGGAGGAGGGGGTTGCTGTAGGGTGCGTGTAGTCACTGGAGAGACAGAGAGAGACAGAAAATGAGAAATCGCCCCCGCCCCCAGGATGGCCATGCTGCAGTCCCTTCTCCATGAGCACGCATGTACACACGCCTGGTATGAGTTTCAAGCTGCCGGGTCTGGGACTCAAACCACGGTCGGCCATGTGACATAACCATTATGCCATCTACTAGTCCTCTGTTAAGTACCCTTTTTTTTCCTTGGAAGACTTATTTTATTTAACTTTATTTATTTTTTAATTTGACCAGAGTGGAACAGAGTAAGTGGGGGTGGGGGGAGTGAGAAAGCAAGTCTCCAGATCTGGCACTTGAACCGTGGTCAGCCATGTGGGAGTCCAGCGCCCTTAACCACTACGCCACCTGCCAGCCCTTAAGTACCATTTTAAAACTAGCATTTTATAGTGGATAAAATAATTTTGCATAAAAGCAAATCAGTCAGCTCATTAAGCTGGTCATTAGATTGTGTGTTAAATTGCCTGTAATTTCATTTTTAAATTTTCTGTACTTCTATTATAGAAACTCTTAAATTTCACGGAGTTTTCCAATCTAATGCTATCTGACCTTATAAATATTTTATTTACTCTTATTTTATGATCAAGTCCTATAATGAAGTCATAGCTTGCCCATGTAAAGGTAACAGTTTAGTTTTAGAAGCCAATTTATTTATTTTAATTTGACCAGAGGGA